GTAGGGTTCCCCTGCTGCTCCCATTTGCCAGAACTCTGGCCACTGGGAGCAACGGGGAGAGAGGAGTGGTGCTTAGGAGTGTAATTGTGTCTCATGTGCAGTGTTGATGGGAACGTTCTGATGGGATGATTGTGATTATCCTGTCTGCATGTGGACATCATTGTTGTACCTCAAGTTATGAATATTGATCATGCACCCATATTTCAAATATAGTCACTGCTGTGGAAATCCCTAAAATGTAGTTTCCACACAGTCCAGCCAACGCACTGTGAGAGGAGCATTCAGAGGGATGGTCCATCCACAAAACACGCAGGCCCTGGAAAACTCATCCCCACCGGACAGACTTTCCCATGGACTTTTCAAGCAGGCGGTGGGCAATGCCACCATGGCTCATCAGAGCAAGCAAGGGCACGTGACCAGCGCATGTGATACTAAACTCCCTCTGGCCTCTGTGCGTTGCTACTCACTGTGCTGGGGGCTTTGCTTGGAACCATGAGTCCCCTCCACCTGTGCGACCCGTGAGCTATGTACACGTGCTGCCCAACAGATCAGCAGAGCGTGCACAGCTAGCAGCATGTGCTCAGGCACCCGTCCCCCACCATGCACTGTCCTGCAGCTGCTCCCAGGAGGGACCCTGCTGCTAATTGCATAGAGTGGGGGGAGGTCAGTGCTGATCTCAGGGTGTCCCCAGAATCTGTGCCCCAACTCCACAGAGCATGGCCCTGCAGCTGCACCTGCCCAGCATTTCTGCCACCTAAGGAGTGGGCCAGGCTTCCTGTGACCTGCCCTGCCTGTCTGAGGAAGCTAGAAGGCCACTTTTTAAGCCTATCAGCAATAGTGGCTGAGTGTACGTGGCCAAGGCCTGGCTGTCTCATTGCCTGATCAGGATTGGGAGCCACATATCTTTCAAACTCCATGACTTGATTGGGTCTACCTTCGTAGTGAGTGCTGGGGGAAATGGGAAGAATTCTGGGTCCTGGATGAACACTGAGCTCATGAGCTTTGGTCTAGTGATGAATCAAAGCACTTGAAGGAATGTGTTTTTGCTGCTGCTGCTGGTGTGCTTTGGAGAAGAGGAAGAGAAAAAAGTCATGTGTCTCCCAGAAAGGGGGAGCGCTGCACTTATGGCTCCAGGGAAGATGAGACAAAGGGCAAGAGTTTTCTCCACCAGCCATTTCTCTCCAAACTGACCAATCTCTGAGTGGCCCTGCGGGAGGCAGGCCTGGTGATCAGCATGGGGCCTGACACTGGCTAGAGCTTCCTCTCACTCTTGTATATTGTACTGAGCCCATATGCAGGGTCCAATGGCTGATTCAGGCAGCTCTACTGCATGTTCTGGGATGTCCTTGCCCTGGGCATTCCAATGAGCTGGCAGAGCCTGTGGGCAGCATGCAACTTCTGTCACAGAGGCGGGCTGTGCGCACCCTGCTGCTGAAGTGGGTTCTCTGTGCCCAGAGGATGTTTATTCAATTTGTTCACTGGGTGGACTTGCCAGCAGTTTAAATCCTGATCCTCAGCTTGTTATGGCTTCATTGCAGCCTCCTCTGCACTTTTAAAAGTATTCACCCTCCCCTAGACACTAGGAAGACACGGCTCCGCCAAGTCAGCCTAAAGGCTTTACAATTAACAAACCCACCAATCCAAGTCAGATCCTGCATCAAGATCTGTTCAGGTAGAATCCCTTAGCTCTCTGCACCAGATCGGTCTCCCTCCCATCAAACAAGCCACATGTCCACCAGCTGCCAACTGAAACTCACCTTGGTCAGATGCAAGCGCTTCCTCTGTCCCTGCTAATAGGAGGTGACACGCCCATTGGCCTAGAATGGCAGAGAAATCAGAGCTTGGGGCTTGCTCTATAATTCTAGCAGTGGAAAATAGTGGGGCACCGCATTCCTCTTCCCCATCACATAATGACAAGGTGTGAGCTATGCCAGGAATAACATCGACAATTAGGAGGAAATTAACATGAGCTCCTCACCCCAGCCTCACAGTTGCCTCAACAAGAAAAGGGAAGCTGAGCTTGGACTGACCTTGCTCTTGGCACCCCACCCGATGTAGCCTGCTCCCCCCTGCCTAGTCTGAGCAGAGAAGAGAGTATCCAGGCTCTAGCAAACACCAGCAGCTGCAGCCCAGCTGGTGCTGGGATACTCCCAACAGCCCCCTCATCCCACTGACCCTGCCACCCCACCCCTATTCTCCCAAGCTACCCCACTCACTCCCTATTTCCCCATCACATGACCATCTTCCACATCCTCTGCAGGGTCCAGGAGACACCTCATTAGTGGAAACACCCCCTGGCATGGCTCCACTCATTGGGTCTGTGGCCATTCACTTCATGTGCAGCCGCGCAGGCAGGCACCTTAGAGCAGCGGTTCCCAACTGCCACTCTGCGGACCATTGGGCCATGAACTGCTGGCTGCTGGGCCACAACACACTGCCCAGGCACATGGCTGGGTGTTGTGTTAGGACTCGGCAGGAGTCTAGGAGCCCGTTGCTCAATCGGACCCAGCAGCAGGAGCAAGAGGAAGCGATCCCTGGTTCTGGCCAGGCAGCAGGAAGTGACGCATGGCCTCTCCTTGCTGAGACTCCGGGGCCAGACAAATGCCAGATCCCTGAGGTCTGTGGGGAAGGGGAGGGCGGAAGAAGGGGTGATGGCGCTGCTGGACCCCACAGCTCAGGCTGCAGCCAGGAGGGGGAATCTCCCACAGGGCTAGTAGTATTCAGAAAGCTGTGCCCTGGAGTCACTCCCAGGGCAGCACCCCCAGCCCTGCCAGCCCCTGCCCCAGGTCAGGCAGCACTTGCAGACAGGTCACAGACCCCTCACCTGTCCCTCCGGGAACAGGGTCCCAGTGTTGCAGGGGAAGAGTTTGTTCCCAGGCTGCTCCCAGCAGCGGGGGTTACAATGCCAGGGTGTGAAGGCGGGGGAGAGGGGAGCTAGCCATGGGAGGGAGGGCAGGAAGGGCTGAAGAGGGACAGGTGCAGATAAGTGGGCTGAAGGGGAACAGGGATGTGTGAGATGCAGGAGGCACTGAAGGGAGGTTGGGGAATTCAGGGAGGGACATGGGACAGATGGAAGCAGAGGTGCAATGCAGGGAAACTCGGGGAGGGAGTCACAAGAAAGGAAAGGGGAATGCAGGGAGGGGAGGCTGGGGGGATCTGGGGGAGCAAGAGCAGCCTGGCTGGGGAAGGGAGAGATACAAGGCAGGGCTTGTACAGAAGGAGATGGGGGAAGATACTATGGCAGCTCCCTCAACATGGGGCAGGAGGGGGAAGGGCATAGCTGAATGCTGGTAGCACTTGGGGACACCAGCTCCTATGCCTCAACAAAATGTCTAAAGTTTCAAAACGGAGGGCCCCCCATGCCTCCTGCCACTGTGGGTGCCCCTCTTCGCGCCCTCCATCTTCAGGCACCAGTTGCCCCTGAGGGAGGGGCTGCCCCACTCAGCAGCCAAAAGTTAATTTTTTTTTGTAATTTCTTTTAATGTTGATATCTGCAAACTCAGATCTGTTCAGGACTGGTAACTATTTGCATATTCATTACTTGCATTACGGACATGCAAATACAATGTTAGCGGTTTGTGACTGGGTTTGGTGGTTCCCGGTGTGAGAGGTTGGGAACCGTTGCCTTAGCGGGAACACTGGCTGGAAGGAAGAAGGTGCTGAAAGAACAGCAGCAGCAGAGCAGCCCAGCAAAGATGGGGCCACCCGGAAAAGCAGCAACTGCAGCAGCAGCCCACCACGGTTCCAGAGCTGCCCTCGGCATTGGCTGCTCCCATCAGCAGGCGCTTCAGCAGCAGCAAACCCAACAATCCTATGGGCATCTCTCTGTGCCCCACAGAGCAGCAGGGATCTCAGCAGCAGCTTGCTGGGAACTTGCCAGCGGGCCCTGGGCTCCCTGCATTCCCCAAACCCTTCTAGTGCCCAACACAGCAGAAGGCCCATTCCGCTGGCAGCCAGAGGGGTTGCTAAGGAAAGGGAAAGACAGACGAAGAACTAACAGGCAGTGGCAGAATGAAAAGGGGCAAGTCAAGGTCAGACCACAAGACTATGAAAGTGGACCCGGGGATTCATCTGCCTCCCCTTCTGCCCAGTTTTCTGATACCACCAGCAGCTGGCTGTGCTCCCTCCGAGATGTCTCCTCTGAAATCTCTGAGAGCCACAGAGATCTCCTTAACTCCTGAAAGCAGGGCTCTGCCACCAGAACTGCCCCATGGACCAAGGGTGGAGCTCTCCAGCCTCAACTCTCCATGCTCACCCCAAGCGTGTGGCACAGGGGGTGGAGGTTCCTTGGGTCCCCCAAGGCTGGTCTTGGCTGGTGTCACCAAAGCCAAGATCTCCTGGACAATGGCTGGCTGGACTGGGTGGACCTCAGGGTGCTTGCCCAGGATATACAGCACTGCTGACACAACATGTCCCCCGGGAGGTCAAGGCTGCCCTATAGCCTGCCTCTCTGCCTAGATCATCCGGCTCGCTGGAACTTGATGTCAGGCCCCTGCCGCATCAGCTCCCACCCATAGCTCTGAGCCTCCCCTTTCAGCTGCCTCATATTGAGGTGCAGCATTCTGGTTGCTGACTGAGCTGGTACCCTTGTCGAGGTGCAACAAGTCTCATTGTACCTGTGCCCAGGAAGCTGGGACACTAGCACCCTGCTCCTCCAAAAATAAACCCGGCTCAGAGCCTTAGCCCTCAACGGAGCCAGTGTCTTTCAACAGCAACCCTGAACCGAGGGGCATGGACAAGCCGCACGCTCTGCCAGTGCGGCACAAGAGTACACCACAGGAACTAACAGCAGCCAGACCCAGAACCACCTACTGATCTTGTCTGGCCCCTTCCATTCACACCTCCAGCCAAGGCACAACACGGGAAGAACAGTGAGACCTTGGCTGTGGGAAGAGCAGCACCAATGATATGTCCCTGAACCTGCTTCCCCTGGGAGGGGGCGTGGAGGGGACAGTCACTCACACAGGAGCCAGGATTACTGGAGCAGTTACTCCTGACACTGGAGGGCAGAGGACACTGAAGGCCTGAACCCAACTCAACCCAGCTACTCCACAGCCCACCCAGCTTCTGATACCCGAGGAGACAGGAATCCTTACCCAGCCAGCTCACAGCTTCACAATTCTCCTGCATCACATCCCTGTAGAGGGCTCTCTGGCCCGGGTCCAGCAGAGCCCATTCCTCCTCAGAGAAACACAGTGCCACCTCCTCAAAGCTCACTGGCTCCTCCACAGCCATTTCCTGTCCCTGGCTTTGCAGGCCATTGGCTGTACTGGAGACAGACATGGCTGTTCTGCAGCCTAGAAGGGGGAGAAGGGTGATTAGAGACATTTCAGAAGGGGCTTTATTCCTTTCTACATCCCCATTCTGCCCAGACTCTGTCCCTGGTGACACATATGCTAGACTCTGCCATTGTGGGCAAAAGTTTGAGTCTAGTGTCAAAGCAAAAACACGCTCCTCTCTGTTTAGGCGGCCAACAACTGATAGCTTTATTGATCAGTAAAGCAAAGTGAGACAAACGTGGTCCCAGCAGTCGGGCCCAGTAAGGCTGCTTAATACAATCGATCCTAGTATCTTTATACCCTTGACCAAACAGCCTGACGTCAGGGCATCCAATTACAGAAATCATCAATTAAGCTAGGAAAATAAAGCCTTATCAACAAGATGGCGGACAGGTACGAGGGAGTACCTCTCCTGTCTAAACCAGTCCAATTAACACATTCCAATAGCACATCTGTCTTGGCCTGGCACATCGGGTGATAGAAAGTTCACTCTGGTCTACGTGCAAAAGCAAAAAGCTGAAATGGTCTCTGTTATACAAGATGGCTTCTAGCTAAATATAAAATGGTTTCTACAGCTTCTACACTAGCTATTCCATAAACATCACACATTAGATCCCAAATCCAGAAGGAAGCTTGGGGTAAGGGTTTGGGATGCAAGAGGGAGAGAGGGGAGTGGGAGTTTGGGTGAAGGAGGCAGGTGTGACCTTGGGCACTGGATTAGCCTGGACTCATTAGATATTTAAAGTAATTTTAATATAGAGAAGTGGCTGAATGGACAAATAAGAGGCTGGGGGTTTCTGACCACTGAGAACCTCCTGTATTTATATTTGCAAGAAGAGGACAGAATGTTTGGGTATGTGGACTGGGGGGCAGAGATTAGAAGGGGAAGAAAAGGTTGGGGTACCAGAGACAAGCTCTGCTAGGAGACTTACCTGAGTGACTCCTAGCCAGCAGCCAAGCACTTCTCTCAGGCAGGCAGGGAGCCTGCCCGACCCTTGCACATGCTGCAGGGCCATGTGCACGTGTGAATAATTAAGAGCCAGAGGGGAGGGAGTGTGGTGCTTTGTTTCTGGCCAGAAATCAGCCAATGGGACGGCCCTGGGGGTGGAAGCAGCGCCTGAAGTCTCCCCCCTCCCCTCCGGGCTCACAGTTGCTTTGTGAGTGGCTTGCAGATGGGGCATGTCAAGCAAAGAACTAGCCCATTGGCTCCCCCAGCATTCATGGGCCGAATCCATTGGCTCCCCCAGCATTCATGGGCCGGATCCAATGGCTTGGCAGGCTGGATTCGGCCCAGGCCTGCACTAAACTGAAGAGCCCTTGGGAATCCAGCAGTTTCTTGCCATGAAAAAACTGATGAGAGTGGAAGCCAGTCAGCTCAGCCTATTTATTGTTTGAAACCAACCCCAGATTGAAATGGACTGAGCAGTGAAATCTGAGCCTGAAGGTGCCGTCCGTTGTGTGCTTTAACTTCACCCTTTTAGCATCACACCCCACAGACCAGTGTTTCTCAAAGTGTCTGCAGGTCCCCAAATCCAGTGCCCCTGGGGCTCCTCACTGATAAGTGGGTGAGATTTAGGGATGGGCATGCCATGGTCCCTGCATCTGGTTGGTAATCTTAAAGACAATCCCACGAAGATATTTTCACTGGAATTATCTCATCATTTAAAGAATCAGCAACTGCAAACTCACCTTGTCTGAAAGCTCCCAAGGATTTTCCTCTTGTTCTCTCCAGTGCCGAGGGCAGAGTGTCTGGAGGGGGAAGGGATAAGAGAGGTGAGATTCCAGGCTCTCCTCTTTATAACAATGTCCCCGCTATGAACTCTGCATTCCAATTGTATCCGAGACCAGACTGGGACACACTCAGGTGTTTAATATGAAAAGGTCTGAAACCTTCTGTTTCCCCTCTCACTCAGGCACCTCCCAGCAATGGAGCCAACATCCCTGCAGCCTCACATCCATCTCAGGAGAGACAAGCTGTAAGTGAGATTTACTTTTCTCTCCTCGTCCCTTCCCACTTCGTTTCTCTCAGTCACTTACTGCTTCTTGTCATAATCTAAAGCTGTGGTGGTGGAAGGCGTTGTCATCACAGTAACTTTAGCCATTTTGATACCTTTGACATGAACAGGAAGTTCAGAGTTTACAAACCCCTGGCTCTATCTGCAAGCAGTTGGGTCTGTTTGCTCAGTGTCTCCAAGGAGAGCAGCATGATGGGGCCGTCAATCTCCATGCGGGAATAGAGGCAGGGGAAGGCTGGCTTTAGAAACCAGATTCAATTGTCTCAGATACTTGAGTCACTTTCCCCTCCTCCATCCCTTCTAGGTACCTTTGAACTGCCTCAGAGTTTCCGACAGCGCAATGGTTTTCTGGGAGAAACTGCTGACTTGTTCTTCTACTTCAGGACAAATCTCCTCTGGCAGCTGGAACTGCCCCATCTCACATCTGGACAGAAACAATTTAATGTGATTTTATTTAATTTACTGATAAGTTCTGGAGAGTGAGTCTCAGATCTAACAGGTCTGGAGTTAGAATTCCTCCAATTCTCCCAGCCTGAGAGTAGGGGCAAAACAGCTCATATCCATGCAACCTTCCCCTGAAAGGTCCCATTGCTGTTCTTCATCTCTGGCCTGGAGAGACCAGCTGGGGAACAAAAGTGGAATTGAGTCTCCATGGTCAACTCACTCCTTGGCCTCCACCTGGGAACCTCCTGTTTCTCAGCACCTTAAGGGCTGTAGAAATCTGCTCACTGGGAACTAGGCAGAGACACCAGCTGCCCCCTTTCCAGCAGCTTTCACACAGATCTCCAAACAGCCCTCGGGTGGGACAGACTCTTGATCCCTGCTGCCCTGGGCTGAACGTGCCCAGTGCCCAGCAGTGACAGACCCGTGTTCCAGCCCCACAGTCCTGAGACAGCCAGTCCCCAGGAAGGTGACAGCTTTAGGAAACACTTGATGACAGATTGTGCCCCTGAATAAAGAATTCCAGAGTCTGCTGTGCCAGGGTGAGACCCTCAGAATTATATGAGTCAGAGACATTTGTATCCAACATCTGGCTGCAGAGCCCTGGGGAGATGTGGTGCCAACATCAGCTCCAAGCTTTTGCCCTGCGCTGTGCTGTGAGGGGGAGCGAAAGCCACGTACCCACGCAAGGTGCATCTGACGCCCTAGAGAAAACAGAAGGAAAAACATCTCAGTGCCATTGGACACACACAGGGGACCCCACGGAAGGGATTTTGCAAACATGCGGAAGAAAAACCCTGGCCCCGGAGTCATGGATCTCCTGAGCAAATGGGGGTTTGCCATCTCTAATAGCTCTGTGCCTGTAACTCTACAAAGCACAATAGTCACTCACATGTCAGCAATGCACATGCCAAGTTACAGCCAGATCGCTTGTGATTCAGGAGCCTCCCTTCCCTGTGTGGGGAGCTGGGATGTTTCTCCCTCGGTCTCACCTGCAAGAATTCACTCCCTGGCTTCTGACACTTCCCCTCCAGCTCACCGATCACCTGGCTGAGACGGGAAATCTGCGCAGAGAGTTTCCTGACAGTGTCAGTCTGGAGCCTCACAATCTCCTCGTCCAGCTTCTGCAGCTGGGCCAGCAGGAGTCGCTCTTGCTCCTTCAGGAACTGACGCAGCTGCTGAAACTCAACCACAATCATCTGCCTCTCGCCTTGTGTCTGTTTCTGTATGAAAACAGGGAAAGGGCTGGTCATGGACACAGATGGAACCTGGGGCCCTTACATGTGGAGCTGAGTGTGCAGCAGGGAGAACATCTTGGAAAACCCTCAGATTTCTGACATTTGACTCTACTCTGCAGGTACTAGGCAGAGGCGTCTCTCCCAGCATCTCCTTTGGCCCCCGTGTCCCTCTGAAAGCGCTGTTCCCATGTCTGCCATGGGCAGCATGTTCAGACCCAGAGCAGCAGGAGGCAGGACTCAGCACCAACCTGACAGATACCCAGGTAGGAAAAAGAAACGAAGATGTTAATGCACCAAGTAAGCAGACACAGCAGATAACCCTTCATGGGGACATGCATTTCCCTTGGGGAGGATTTCTGGGAAAGTCACAGAGACTGGATATTAACTCATCCACTCACATAGAAGCTCAGGGCTGGTCTACACATGGATCTAACCCAGTAATCCATGATCTAGGAGAAACACAAACAAGCCCAACCTCACCAAGGCCACAAAGGAGCCCTGTCTCCTAACACAGCCTCCCTCTGCCAGTCCCTGCCGGTTCATAACCACAGGCACCTACCAGATACTCATGGCTTTTCCTCTCTGCTGTCATTTTCCTTCCCAGCAGCATTTCTCTCTCTTCCCTCAGAGTCTTCAAATGGGCCTCCAATATTTCCTGAAAGAACAGAAATAAACATGAGGATAAACCCCATGAGATGTTGGGAGCCCATTTATCTGCCTTTAAACTGTACAGTCCCAGTTTTGTGGACCTCTGTCCCTGTGTGGCAGGCACTCAGCCCTGGACATGGCTTTGTTCATAGAAAAAGAGACAGGAGGAGACTGCGGATGCAGCAGGATGCCTGCAATGGTGAGGGATGGATCGGTGGTGGCACCTTCGTAAAAAATTACACAGGTGGAGATTAAGGAGGTAAAAAGGATTAAAAATACTAATCATGTAATCGAATGCAATGTAATCAGTTACAGTATTTTTAACCTGCTGACAGATAAGGCCAGTAGCAGATGTAGGCTTTCCTGGGGGCAGGGCTTTCTTGTAAGATCTGCCGGCTGGCCACCAAGACTGCCGGCAAGTGGGGACTCCTAGCAGCTCCAGACTGACGTTCGCTACTGGGGAAAGAAGGCACTGCCGGGTACAGGGGGGAGTTTAACCAGTAACTGGCACCAATACGTATTAACTCATCAGTTAACCAGTTTGAACTCTGGCTACAACCCAGTCAAATCCCAATGGTGCCTGGCATAGCCCTGAACTGCCTGGAGCCCAGCTATGGGTGGATTCAAGGCACTTGGGGCCCCACAGCATCCAACCCAGTGACCTCCTCTAGTGCTGGCTGCTGCATCTGAGTTTAACCCCACATACAGCAGCACAGGTGTTCAGCATCTTAGTGGGAAACCTCCTGTCCCTGCTGGGCCTGGGGCCTGTAGCAATGTGTCTTTCCCTCCTAAGGACTCCACTTCATCATTGTTCAGTGATGTGGAGAGACACAGGGAAATGCAGCCTATTGGTTAGTGTAGCTTTGGACTGAGCCTGGAGAGAGCAGAGTTTGGGGCTATCCTTTATCACTGACGTGCTTGGTGATTATGAGGGAACTTGCTGCCTCACTCTCTCTTCCCACCATTTGTCTAACTAGACTGTGACCTGCTCAGGCCAGGACTGACCCTCTCTGGGTGTTGTGCAGGGCACAGATGCCATTGTGGGTCTATAAGGCAAATTAGTACTGCTTCTCAGCCAATCAGTAACAGCTTGTAACCTCCTCTTCTCCAGTCCCAAGGCAGCTCGCTGCCTGGCCTGCAGCTCCTGTGACCTAAATCAGTGTTTCTGAACCTTTTTTAATAAAGTACCCTTTTTAAAAAAAATTATAAGTATCCGCAGTACCTACAGTTTTCATACACACAATTTTTTCCCTACCATTGCAACACATTTATTTAAATAACATAATCGTAGCAGGGCAGGGATGAAATTGTTGGGTGTAAGAAGTACAAAAATAATAAAGTGCTGTAAAACTTAAGAAAAAATCAGTTTTCTCCAAATTTCAGTGGCATTGCTGTACCCCCAGACTTCTCTCAAGTACTCCTAAGGGTACTCATAGCACTAGTTGAGAACCACTTATCTGAACCTCTCTGATTGTTAACACCTTCCCTTATGTCAGGGATTCTCAAACTGCGGGTCCCTACCCCCCGGGGGGTCGTGAGCAACTTAGAGGGAGGTCATGGTATCACAAAGTTTGAGAATCCCTGCCTTATGTTAAAACTCCTCCTCTCACCAACGAAGGCTCGGTTTCAGGATACAGAGCCTCAGAGAAACTTTTCCCACATCAGGTATCTATAAAGACTTGATGCAAGATGCCACAAAGCCAGAGCATTTACTTTTTACAGCATCTCTTGTACCATGAAGGCTTTAAAGAGCCATGGCACACCTGTGCCAGGTAACACCAATAAAATAAGCCTGTAATCAAAAGCCAATGTTATTTCCCATTACACTGGACAGCAACTCTGTACCTTGTACTCCTGGGCAGCTTTCTGTATGGAGACCATCGTGTGAGCCTCGGATCTGTCACACACCACACAGATGGGAGTTTGATCCTCTTCACTGAACAGGTGCAGAGCCTCCTGGTGCTCCCCACACACCCCGTCCCATCTTGCTCTCTCCGCTGCCTGGAAACTCAGCGGCTTGGCTAGTTCCACCACGTTTGCCAGCTTCTGGCTGGGCCGGAGGGGTCCCTGCTGCTCAGTGTCTCCACACCAAGGGCTGAGGGGGGGCTGGCAGAAAACGTGCTCACACTCCAGAGTGACAGGGGCTGTGAAATCCTCCAGACAGACAGGACGTGTCACTTCCTCCCAGAGGGTTTCCACAGGGCTCTCTTGCAGCCATGGCTGCCTCTGGGCTGGGCAACAGGGGCTGTGTCACTTTCCTGAGCTAGGCAATGGGGGGGCAGGTCTGAGGGCGGCTGTGTGAGGCACCAGTACCGAGGATACAAAAAATCAAAATTAGAAACCAAAAATCCCCCAAAGCTTCACTCACCCCCACCAGGGCCTCCCCAGAACCCCTCAGCCACCTGACCCAGCCAGACCCCCTCCCCGTCTCTGCGCCCCTCATGCCAGGGCCCCGCCTCCCCCTGCGTTCGCCCCGCCCCCTCTGCCCCATCCTAGCCCCTTTGTGCGCGCCGGACCGCACCCAGCGCTCAGAGCGACCCCCCCGCCCGGCGGGAGCATCAGGAGGCGCCAAGGGCCGGGGCGGGGGGCGGGCCGGTCGAGCGCAGCGCGGGTTT